TAGAGATGCACTAGGTATGCAGAATATCAACCAGTAGAGTTTACACTAAATAATTTTGTGGTACATTGTATCAGTGAGTATGCCAGAGATCCAACCCGATTTGGCGTAGAAGCGCAAAAAAAAAATTGTAAAATCTAGTTGAATCACTAAATATTAACAGGGCACAAGTCCAATTTTTGGCGAAATTGAGTTAGGAGCGGATTCTTATTCCTCATCGATAGACGCATCTTCTGTCAAAAAAGGCACTTATCCGCGGCTTTTAAATACGTTAAAAACAGCTGAAAAAAATCACCAAATTCGAAAAGGGCACATGTCCGAGACATGTGCCCTTTTCGAACCTTTGTGCGCGGATCAGCTGGTGTGGAAACATAACCTATAAATTTCGGAATCCGATTCTACCACGTGTTTTCCAATAGAACAAACTTACTATTTTTGTCAGCTCTCTGTTGACACTTTAGGACTTTATAATTTAAGAGACGACACCATTATGTCGTATGTTCATCATGAAAGAACTGCCCGCAAGACCCCAGATGATGTGAGATCTAACGTTATCCACTATGATGAACATTTTACTGGTGCTGATATTCAAGAAATTGATGAATTGCATTTATTTTGTGATAATTGCGGGGGTCAAAACAAAAACCACGCTCTCATGCGTGCTTTAATGTCCTTGGTTGAAACAGAGAAAATTAAGACGCTAAAATAATTATTTCCTCAACGTGGGTATTCGTAGGTATCTCCCTTACGACCGGGCATTTGGGCTTATAAAACGTAAGCTCAGGAGAACAGACAGACTGTATACTATTGACCAATACGTTGATTTGATTCTCAAGGCTTCAAACATTGTTGGGAAACTTGGAGTTTTTTTAATTGACCAGACCATAATGTTCGACTTCCAAGGATGGTTCAAATAATATACCATTTTACGCTGGTCCCAAGAAACCAGAGTGGTCGTAGGCAGCAAAAAAAGGAAGATACATTTTTAATTTCCACCTATCATCAATTTGAGTGCACGACAGAGAACTTCATGGTCTTAAAGGTTTCTGAGTGCATTTCGGGTCTTGTGCGACTTAGTCATTCAAACTGAGAAAATCGAATGTAATGCCACTTCGTTTACCCACAAAACACTTGTACACAGGGGCTGCTCCTATTGTTGATAAGAAGATGGCAGATCTGGAGAAGTTGAAGTTGATCTCCTCTGAATTTAAAAAGTTCGGGGCAGACATTTTTTGTTAACCACGGAAACTAGTGTAACTCGAGAAGAGCGAGTCCATGGTAGGCAAGAAGAGTAGCATTTAAGATATTTTGTATCTCTTGTCAGCTAGAAGCTTGAAAGTAAACATTTTGTAAAAAAATTGGTTTAAATTATTAATTAACTGCTTAGACCTGTCATCTTAGCCCGTTAAATACAAAAGGGGCACAAGTCCAAACTTTTTAAACGGCTGCCAATGGGCCAGTTACTAATAGGTATTTTCAGATAAACGAACCATCATTAGGTATACGCAGGCTGCCGTATAGAATCCAAATTTAAACATAAAAATTTTCAAAAGAACTTCTACCACGAAATAGACAATTTTTTGCGTCTCCTAAACAATTTGGTTTTCTGGGCATGTGCCCTTTTTGTATTTAGTGATTCAGTTGTGACCAGCGGTCCGGTCGTAAAAACTTGAAGTACCTAATAATTTTTATTTCGGGATATCTCGAAAAAGTTCACCTCCATAAGCAGTCGTTTCGACTACCAGGCATTGATAAAAACCCAATGGAAATATTTTTTTCGGGGTTTTACCGAAGACTCGTAATTTTTCCGTATGCGTTCAAAAAAAAACTATTGGGATTTTAATGGCTGCCTCTGACGAAACAACTACTTACTACGACTACTACTACTACTACTACTACTACCACTACTAACTACTACTATTACTACTACTACTACTACTACTACTACTACTACTACTACTACTACTACTACTACTACTACTACTACTACTACTTATTTATCGTTTATTCTCGTTTTGACGCTTTTCGGCACTTGGCGGCTTTTCCGTTTTTGTCCCAACATGCATGTGTGTTAAGTAAAAGGATGCCACATAGTGGGAGAGGCATACATCCATTAATCAGATGATTCCATGACGGGGGTGATACCGTGATAAGGGTGGATGGAGGTAAGAAAAATCGCGATCCATATTTCATGGACAGCTCCTAAGAATAAAAAGCGTTGCAAAGAAACTGTCCCATACCCACCTCCAAAGCGGTCTGCTGACTCAAAATGGAATGATCCCAAACCATTCTTACACGCCAAGACATTACTTTCATAAAATCGAGCCCACAGTGTCAGATCCTCTATTTTCAGTTAGCAGTTTGGCAGTAAAAAGTTTTAATAGGTACCCTGTTCAAAGATTTAAAAGTAACATTTAGAGAAAATGGACCCTCTCCATTTCTCTCAAAGTTGAAGGATATACAAGGATAAGTCAAACATATTACAGTCTACGTGAGTTCTACGATCATCCAGTTTAGTTAGTGTAGGTATCATTTTACTGGCATTTAGTCTTGTTGTTCGCCAACAGTCTTTTAAGAAATTAATTTATGACATGTACTATAGCTGTACCACTGGCTCAAAGTACTGAATAAAAAATTATCATTATTATTAATTGTTATTATTATCTTTTCCTGAAACTTAGAGAGGTCTTTCCCTCCGGGAGAGCTTTAGTGTCAATGCATTGGGTAGGGGAGAGGCTTGTACCTCCGGCTATGGTTGTACCTTGGAATAAATTTGATATTTCCCTCCATAATAGCGCCAAAGTGCTCTTATCATGAACTAAGGTTGCCTGACGTGTAACAAAGCGATTCATCTTGAAAAATTTGCTCTGTGCCATCATCTCCGTCAAAAATCGAAAAAAATCGAACTTTGACCTCCTTTTTAAACATTTTCAGAAAGCTATAAAGTGATGCTGCCCCCCTAAAATATTTTTTTAGGTCTCTGGACTTTTTATATTTTGAAACCTACATGCATGTACTACATTTCCCCTTTCTTTCCCCTTTCATTCCTCCTGTAAGAGCTCTAGTGGACCAAGATTTTTTTGCTGTTCAAAAATTCATCTTTTAGAGTGAAAATTGAGTTCAAGCGCGAAATTAGGATAAATAAGTACCAAAATTCCGTCCAATTATCTCAATTTTGAGCGGATATGCGGCATTTCGTGGCTAATCGCGGTCAAACGCAAATGCCGTCGAGATAATTGGATGGAATTTTGGTACGTTTTTATCATAATTTCGCGCTTGAACTAAATTTTCACGCTCAAAGATGAAGTTTTGAACAGCAAAAAAATCTCGGTCCGGATACTTGAGCTCTTACAGGAGGAATGAAAGGTGTCCATTGTTTTCACCCTGACAATGAACGGGTTGCGGACCTCCCTTTGCTACACAATAGAGGGTGTCCAGCGAGCGGTCGGGTCATCGTGGCCGAGACTGATGCGTTGCCATTTAGAGAATCTTCATGCCGAATACAAAGTCTCAGGTTTCGTGAAAGGGACTATAGTTCGCCTTGAATTTGGGCTGGGTTTTAGAGGTTTTATGATTTGAGTAGCTCAGTACCTCGAGTTCGGGATTTTCAGCGTTTCAGCAAAATAGAATTGGTGAATTTGCCAGAAATTCTAGTCAGAAAACACTCCCACGCTTTGCTTGCAAACGCTCTTTCGCGCACTTGAAGCCGCGTGATCGACATGAGAAAAAGGTATCCAGCTCCAGTGGTTTCTCATGAAGCTAGCTCACAATGCATTCCGTGAATGGTCAAATAATGGTCCATCTCCGAGCGGCGGATCCCGTCTAAGTTATCTTAGCTACGAATGAATGTGTAGAACTGCCGTGATAGCGAAGGGAGCCGTAAGTGCAAAATTTTCGAAATCGAGTTTTCTTAAAAATTCGTCTAAACTCTTTTAGATGAAATTACTGAGACAGCGAAAACAGCAAAATTCATCCTAATTTAATGAAAACGAGACGTATGAGAAAGCCGTGAGTGCACAAAAAATGACTATAGTTTTTTTCGAGACAGCCGTAGGTGCATGAGAGCCAATGAAAACAGTGCTTTCCAGTGAAGTGCCGCCCTCTTCTGCCAATTTCTAACCTGAAAATGTGTTTGTTGTGCGTCCAAAATGTACCCACGAAAGCATGCAGAAGTAGAAGATAGCACTTACGGCTGTCTTGCCTAACAATAACCTAACACGAAACTGGATTTTACCTTTTTCATGTACTTTAAAATAAAATCGATCGAGTTTTAATCCCCCACATGATTTCTAGGAGTCTTCCGGACGAATAGTGGCAATTTGACAAGGAACGGAGGCTTCTTTCAATAAAATGTTCCGGTCACAAGCTTCTGAGCCCGTTTTCTCAGAACTTCATTTTTGCAGTTACGGCTCTCTTCGCTATCACGGCAGAGTACTGAAGGCAGATTTTGTTGGGCCACCCATCGTGCTTAAATATAGGTACTAAGGACGAGTCTCAACCACACTAAAGTCCGGCTTGACGCTTCTATTGGCCGGTGGTGCGTTGTGCACTCTTCGATGGTTTTTGCATCTCCGTGTGAAAGAATTCGGTCCTTGATGGTTACCTATGCGTCCAGTACTTATGCTGCAATCACACGCTGAATGTGGGAGCTGAATGTGGAATTCATCGGCCCGATGCCTGAGTTTTGCGCGCGTCGCGCGAAATTCAGCGACCATCGGATAATGTCGGATTTGTCTGAACTATTCGAATAGATTTGATACACATCTGGATGAAAGTAACTCGAATTTGCGAAATTTCAGCTGTTGAGCGATGACTGTTGACTTCCATATTCAGCTGCAAAATTCAGCATGTGATTGCGGCATTAGACGGCCTTTGGTAAGCGTGCGCAAACATGTGCGCATGTGTAGCTAATAAATATGTGTTGAAAGTCTCGTGGCCCAGGCAAACACTGAAATTGTAAACACGGCTCTTGAGAAGCGATGCAAAAAATCAGCGCAACTCACCTGCATGGTGGCAGCGTGTCAACGTCAGGTGGGCAAACGAGTGAACGGACCGCCGTTGGGGAAAGTGGGGGAGGGGAGGGACTTCCCCGTCGCAAAGAAGCTACCGGTAGATGGACATGGTGTATTCGCGATAGCGACCACTCGCGAGACGGCTTGCACCGGAAAACTACCGAAATTTTCGGATTCTCCTCTCCGTTCCGGTTGACTGAGTTATCTCCGCGGTTAATTTTAGCACTGCTTCGGGCACTTGGCCAAAGCCCACTCTACCGCTGTCTAGTGTCGCTGGAACCGGGGACGGAAATTAACAATACTACGAAGTCTCCAAGAGGGAAATTTTCATCGCAAAAGAATACCTATGCTTGAAAAGACACCATCAGATTAAAGGACAGCCTGTTCTTAGTGCTTGGTGATGACTTTAAAGGTACTTGGTACATTTACATACCCGCTTTATTTCTTCATTGGTAAACGAAGAAGCTCAAAGGTGTCTCTAAAAAATTCCTCATACATCCTTAAAAAGTATTTTTCTTGGTTTTTAAGCGGAGGCATACAGACTTTGCTGATAATGTGCCTTTCCTGTAAAGCAGCAGTGTAAGAGGCTGATCCAAAAGTCCAGCCCTTCTCCTCTTTGTTTTGAACCGTTCGAGATTAAAAAACGAAACTTTGGGAAAGTTTCTATCTCAAAGGGGACCTTTTTCTGGGAGGGAGGGAGGGAGGGAGGGGGGTCAACCAATTTTTTTCTTTCAAATGATAACATCTACTTTACGATGGAAAGAACATTAAAAACTAAGGATTTTGGCACGAACCGCAAATCAATATCTTAATTTTTGACCGAGTTGTGATAGGTCAAAGGTCAAATTTAACGTATTTTCAAGAAATCATAACTCCGGTTCAAATTATCGTAGAAGAAAAAAATAAAACGGAAAAATGTACCAAATATTTAGCACTTCTAGGTGAAAATCACCGGAATCACTTCAAACTAATTTTAAGGAGGGTTTCGGACCTCCAAATACGTCAGTTCAAAAGTCATACCATTTTTCCGCGAAATGAGCCTACTTTCCCCAAATGTGCCCCAACATTATGTCAGCAAGTTCAAAATTAGTTCAAAACTATGTTCGCCAGGCCTCAAACAGGTAAAGTTTAAAAAAAAACGAAATTTGAGGTGATGTAATTTGACCGTTTAAATTTCATTTTTTTTTTTTTAAACTTTGCCTGCTATTTGAGGCCTGGCGAACGTAATGGTGAACTAATTTTAAACTTACTGACATAATGTTGGGGCACATTTGAGGGAAAGTAGGCTCATTTCGCGGAAAAATGGTTTGATTTTTCAACTGACGTACCTATTTGAAGGTCCGGGATCCTCCTTAAAATTAGTTTGAAGTGATTTCGGTGATTTTCACTTAGAAGTGCTAACTATTTGGTACATTTTTCCGTTGTATTTTTTTCTTCTACGATAATTTGAACCGGAGTTATGATTTCTTGAAAATACACTGGAAAAAAAATATTGCTAAAATTGCCGTGCACGTGGGTATTTCAACTGCATGGTGTGCTAAAAAACGAACGTGCAAACCATGCAGGTAAAATCGCTACACAAATTTCAGCTAACTTACACTCTCGCGTGTGGGTGATTTTGCTACACTGAAAAGCTACGTCTGTTACCTTTTTAGTTATTCTTCCGTAAATTTCGCTATTTTTCCGTAAATTCCGCTATTTCAGCTTAACTATTGAGCTATTTTTACTGTTCGCAAAGTAGGTACCAATACCAAAAAATGAAGTTAAACTTCCAAGCCACTCGATGCAAGATTAACTGCATGAAGGCGCGCAGATGTAGCAAATCGGTGTAGCAATTCGTGGTAGTCGTTCACTTGATTCAACACCGTGCACGGATAAGAAAGCTTTACGAAGTGAAGCAAATTTTGCTCCACCCTAAATCGGTAAATTAGCAATCCTTTTTTTATACGTTAAATTTGACTTTTGACCTACCACAACTCGGTCAAAAATTAAGATATGATTTGCGGTTTGTGCCAAAATCCTTAATTTAATTGATGTTCTTTCCAATGAGGTATCACAAGGTAGGTAGGGGTCATCGTTTGAAGAAAAAAAAGTTGAGGCCCCCCGTCTCCCCTGAGGGAAGGGCCAAAGTTTTGAGCCCCCCCCCCCGCCCCCCCAGCAAAGGGTCCCCTTTGAGATAGAAACATTCCCAAAGTTTCGTTTTTTTTATCTCGAACGGCTCAAAAGTTAGAGGAGGGGCGGGACTTTTGGAACACCTATGTGGAGCACGCTGCAGTAAATAAAGGACAGTCCATCAAAACAAAAAAATCCAGGGTTATATGTACTATACAGGGTGTCCCCAACCACCCATGCGAGTCTTCTTTCTAAGCTATTTCCGTTCGAATGAAGTCAAAGACTGCGGGGACAAATCGGGGATCGACCCCAAGGAATCTGGCCTGAATTCACGGCCCTGAAGCCCCTCCCCCTCCCCGGCTTTTTATATCCTCAGGGAATGTAAGAGGGATCGTGACCTTAAAAGTAGGGGCATGAGAAACGAAAATCGGACACGTAGTTTCCGAGATATAGCGCGCCAAAAAATCGCTTGGCGGCAATCTTTAGCGGCCGCCATCTTGGTTCCTGCACAATTCTAGGAGTGCTTCCCTTTCTAAAAGAGTTTCTAATGACCATAAAAATGATCCCTGAGAGCGGCCGTAATTCCCAATCAAAAAATGCGAGGTTTTAGCCATTATTGAATCGTACCCCGCCAACTATACCGCGGTGGATGTCGCCATAAACGGAATTTTTCAAAACGCGATATCTCGGTTAATATTGAACGTAGAGAGTTACTGTTTGGACAGATCTAATTATTTTTAGCTGACTCGCAAGAATCAAACACAAAAACACGATTCTGTGACCAGCACTACTGACCCATTATATTACTCCCTAACGGGTAATTTTTTGCTTTGTTATATTTGTTTTCCATATTTCTTCCAAATTTCTCGGATTTCATGTCTATTTCTTTCTTGTTGAGTCTGCATTAGCAGGCCCTCTGGGCCGGGGCACTGTCCGCCAGGTTTGCACCTTATTACATTTTTATCAATAGACAACACCAAGAAAAAAACCCTCTCTTCCTTTATTTTTGAATCATAAAAAGTAAGCACGATGTATCAACGACAACAGAAAGAACAATGAGTCAGTTAAGTCATTTTTTTTATTGTGTCATTCGAAAGTAGTAAGTGACCGTACAGTGTCCTAATTTTTTTTTTGATGACTGCAAACGGGAGAAAAGTTTATTTGAGAGTGCCAAAAATTAGGGTGGCCTAAAACGGCGTTTGAACCGCGCGCTCGTAGGTTTCGAATGTACACGTCACGATCAATATGGCGGCGGAATGGTAGTGGAAGAATACACGGCGGCGTCGCGTTGGCGGTGAGATTTTGTTGGTCAATTGGAGGTTATGTAGGTTACTTTGTTTCAGATTCATATCCATTGTTCTTAATTGGCCTGTTGCAAACTTTAACTAGAGCAAAAATAAGAGTTGTTTCTTATAGATAATGCCTCAAAAATTACGATGAGCGCATCGGCAAAGTCTGAAATGCACTTATAACTTCACAATCTGCGTAAGAAATTTGCGGTTTTTTGAGCTTCCCGCTTCAAAAACGATACTACGGCACAGGTGAACATTTTGTCAGTGGAGTCGCTCCATCGTCGGCAATATTCATCATGGCCGACGCTTGCGCGGTTCCGCGCGTATTTCTAGGAGAGTTCAAGATCAATCAAGGCGGGCGAGAAAAATATGAACGTAAACACGCCGATTGTTATCTGGTCTAATCCTGTTCAGGTGTTATCTCGTACCATCACACGTGTTTTGGCGGATTGGCGTCGGCCATGATGAGTATTGCAGACGATGGAACGACTCCTCTAACAAAATGTTCACCTGTGCCGTAGTATCGTTTTTGAAGTGGGAAGCTCAAAAAACCGCAAATTTCTTACGCAGATTGTGAAGTTATGAGTGCATTTCAGAGTTTGCCGATGCGCTCATCGTGATTTTTGAGGCATTATCTATAAGACACAACGCTTAGTTTTGCTCTAGCAAAAGTTTGCAACAGGCCCATTCTCTAAGCTTTCCAATCAGAATGCGATATAGATGTATGTAGGATATGAAACTTTCACACAGAACTTACTTAACCTCAAACGAGAAATCGTGATGTCAACAACGGCAGCGTGGCGGTGGTAAGCAGGTCGGCTTCGGCGCCGCCATCTTCCCGTTCTATGACGCGTAGACTTGAAGATTCACGGCGGCGGGTTCAAACAGGTTTTCGAGGACCCCTAAAAAGGAAGCGTTATATCTCCACGGAGACAATTTTTCGTGAAACTTTAACGTGCGCATCGTTCTTCTCGTACCGAATGCTGTAAGATTCGACTATTTGCAGGCAAATCCCTCCCGAGCTTAACTGACTCATTGTAGGTAGTAACTAGTATTCTCTTTACACAAGTACCTAGCAGAGGTTGCAACAACTTGCAACAAAATCGTTGAATTCTTGCAACTAATAGATTGACGTGCAGATTGCCTACTCTTTCCCCCGAAGGAGCTATCATTGTTGGAACGTGTTACAATTAAGTTGAAACATGTTCCAACTTCAATATCGTTCCCGGTCCTTACATTTAGCTAAAATTTGAATATCGCGGCCTTCTTCGCAAATTGGTAAGGACGTCACAAGACTGGTCTTTACTTAATATAATAAACTAGGGGGCTACGCCCCCTGGCCGCTACGCGGCCCAACCCCCTGAAGGCGCTCCGCGCCATCAATGGGCCGCTTCGCGGCCCTATTTTTACCCTCCTATCAGTGTTAGTTTTATTTTTCCCCTAAACAATTACGATATGAGGTATACTTTAATTTTAAACTTTACATAAAATTACTTTAAAATTTAAAGGACGCGTTTTGGAATGACTGCTTGATGAAATATTGCAGTAAAACAATGAACTTTGGTAGTCAGGTAATTGGTAATAATTAAGATATCGGGGGTCGGGGATCGAACCCACACCGAGTTCAAAGTGGACGTAATCGACGTCTTAGACGACACGGCCACCGCTCCACATGAGAATGCCAGTGCGAATCTTGTGTAGATAAGTGTAGAGCTGATGCGCAGGCTACCCATCTACTGCGCAACCTCCTCGACCACTGCGCATCCTCCCGCGCATAGCGGTAGCAGTACCGGAGCATTCTGTAAACTCACTCACTTTTATAACGTGATTTTAAAAAAACCTGGGTCCTTTTTCCAAAATCTGATTACAGCGGGCTCATCTAGGGCCTATTACCTGTCGATTTACCTGATTCATGGAAATCGGCCCGGTAGAACGCTCAAACGAACTATGACAAAAAGTATAAATTTACATT